TGGGGCCGAATGGGTGTTGAAGGTGATGTGTGGAAAACACATCCATGAGTTGGTTGAAACTTTAGTTGATCACTCTTGTGCCGGCAGGTTAAATATGACTAAGCAGTCATTACTCTTTGATATGACAAAGAGTAAAGTTACACCTACAAATATTTTATTAACATTCAAACAAAATAATGATCGAAATGTCACAACGATTAAACAAATCTACAACTCAAGACAAGCGTATAAATGATCATTAAGAGGGTCCAACAGCTTATGATGTTGTTGGATCAGGATAAGTACATTCATTGGAGTAGGTGTGCTGATGATTTAGAGGTTGTTACTCACCTGTTTTGAACGCATCCTGATGCGGTCAAATTGTTAAACTTATTTAATGTTGTATTTTTGATGGATTCCACATATAAAACAAATAGATATAGATTTTCGTGACTTGAGATTGTGGGTATGACGTCTACATGGTTAACCTTCTCATCGCATTTGCTTTCTTGTCTACTGAAAGACAGGGTAATTTCACATGGGCTTTGGAAAAGCTGAAAGCGTCATTTGGAAGTAGTCTGTTGCTCACGAGTGACCATTTTAAAGGCTACAAATATAGAAAACTTATTGGGCGTGTCTCTCGATATGCATTGGATCTCATTGGATCTCATCATATGTTAAAAATAAACCTTTCCGCTTTTCCAAAGTCCATATGAAATTACTCTGCCTTTCAGTAGACAGGAAAGCAAATGCGGCTGAGAAGGTTAACCCTGTAGACGTCATACCCACAATCTCAAGCAACGGAAGTCTATATCTATTTCTTTTATATGTGGAATCCATAAAAAATACAACATTAAATGAGTTTAACAATTTGATCGCACCAGGACCTGTCCAAAACAGGTCAGTAACAACCTCTGAATCATCAGCGCACCTACTCCAGTGGATGTACTTATCCCAATCCAACAACATCATAAGATGTTGTAGTTCAGTTCTGGACCCTCTTAATGATTGTTTATAAACTTGCCTTGAGTTGTAGATTTGTTTAATCGTTGTGACATTTCGATCATTATTTTGTTTGAGTGTTAATAAAATATTTGCAGGTGTAACTTTACTCTTTGTCATATCAACCAGTAATGACTGCTCACTCGTATTTAACCTGTCAGCACAAGGGTGATCAACTAAAGTTTCAACCAACTCATGGTTGTGTTTTCCACACATCACCTTCAACACCCATCCGACCCCATCTAAACATGGTTTACCCTTTAATCTAAACGGACACTCACATTTACGAGTGTCGTATACACTAGCCATCGCATCGGCTTTGTATTTCCGATATTTTCCTCCTCTTTCACATCCAAGTATGACGAACGTTTTTCTTCCCCATACACCATTAGCTATGTCAGATCTTACTATTACCACAACAAATCATAAGTCATTCCTCTTACCCATTGAATTAAGTGCTCCCGTGAATGAAATATTTCATTTGTGGTAAATTTATTTGTTAAATCTCACTCTACAACTTCGCTAATTAATAAGAGAAATCGGATTTCAAACTACAACCAATTTAGAATCCATATGAAGATATTCATCCATTTTAAATAATAATCACCTATAAAATTATAATGAGCCTTATTAACATAATTAATAATTAATCAAACAAATATAAAAACATTAATATAATTAAATAATATATTTCATAAATAAAGTAATAAGTAATTTTTTATATAATTATAAAATT